CCCGCCAACCCGACATTCGTCGCGTTAGCAAGCTTCACGACCTCCTCTTCCGTCTCAAACTTGAACAAGCCCGCAACGGGACCGAACGTCTCCTCGGTCGACATGGCCATGTCCTTGGTCATACCCGTAATAACGGTCGGCTCGTAGAAATTGTGCCCGAGCTTGGAAATCTTGTTCCCACCCACGACGACTTTGCCACCCTTTTGCTCCGCGTCGCGGACGTGGGACTCGACTTTATCAATGGCGCGATCGTGAATTAGAGGTCCGTGGGTGATTCCCTCCTCGAAGCCGTTTCCGACCTTGAATTCCTCCACCTTTGCGGCGAATTTCCGCGCAAACTCGTCATAGACGCCGCTCTGGATGTACAGCCTATTCGCGCAGACGCACGTCTGACCAGAGGACCTGAATTTGGAGGCGATGGCGCCCGCAACGGCGGCATCGACGTCGGCGTCGTCAAAGACGATAAAGGGGGCGTTGCCGCCGAGTTCCATGGAGAGTTTCTTGAGGGTGCCGGAGCACTGCTTCATGAGGAGCTTGCCGACGTTTGTGGAGCCCGTGAAGGAGATCTTCTTGACGGTGGGGTTGGTGGTTAGGGCCTCGCCGACTTCGGGGGTGTTGTCGAGCGAGGTGACGACGTTGACGACGCCGGCGGGGATGCCGGCGCGGTGGCCTAGTTCGGCGATGGCGAGGGAGGTGAAGGGGGTTTCGCCGGGGGCTTTGCAGACTACGGTGCAGCCTGTTGCGAGGGCGGGGCCGATTTTGCGGGTGATCATTGCGGCGGGGAAGTTCCAGCTGGGGGTGTGTTAGTCTTGCAAACGATATCCTCCATAGATCACAAGAGAAAAGGGAGAAGGAGGGGGGGGCATACGGTGTGATGAGACCACAGACGCCAACAGGCTCCTTGATCGTCCAGACGCGGTTCCCGGGGACGGAGGAAGGAATGGTGTCGCCGTAGATACGCGGGGCCTCCTCGCTGAACCACTCGAAAAAGTTTGCGGCGTAGGTGACCTCGCCCTTGGCGTCGGCGACGGGTTTGCCGTTCTCCCAGGTGATGAGGGTGGTCAGGTCCTCTGCGTTCTCCATCATGAGGTCGTACCACTTGCGCAGCAGCTTGGAGCGCTCGCGGCCCGTCTTGGTGCGGAAGGTCTCAAAGGCGGTGGCGGCGGCGGCGATGGCGGCGTCCGTGTCGGCTGCGGAGAATTCGGGGCATGATGCAATTTTGGTGCCGGTGGCGGGGTCTGTGATGGTTGTTAGTTTTCTGGTCTTTCATGTATGTCTATGCAGGGACAGAAAGTCAGGATGGTAAGGGTGGGGGAAGTGTACCGGTCACGTCAAAGGTCTTGCCAGACTTTGCCTTTACCCATTCGCCGTTGACGTAGCAGACATCCTGCTTCAGGAGCGAGGGATCTTTGAGCTGTGTGAAGTGTGAGTGAGTGAGATTTCATATGAGGATGAGTGAGTGCAGCTCAGATGTTGCGGGTGGTATCTAGAGTACCTTGGGAACCATGGTTGAAGCGGCTCTGAGAGTGAAGGGGATATACGGTGTCCGAACAGATCGGAAAATGGTTCTGGGTACAAATCGTGACGCCGGGGCGACTGCTCTCTGTAGTGCGATGGGCATTGTGATGGATCGGAGAAAAGGACGAAGCTCTTGGTTCGTTGTTGATAAAGGACGTGGAAAGTGCGGGGAGCTTAGCTATCCGTCTGGTCTAAGGGGAATTAAGCTTCAAGCTTGGGGGTCCTATGAGGATGACGCGCTCAAACGCTTCCCTTGGTGACCGAAGAGACGCTGGATTGGCAATTGAGGTGTGTGAGATGCGGTTGCAGCTGTCGATGATCTTCAACGGCAGTTATCAACGACTCAATTGGCGAATGTTGGGCGAGCGACAACGGAGATGTGGTGAGAGAGCTGGGTGTCACTGTGTCAGTGATGAGTGACAGAGGTACCGGGTGACGTTCGATGACGTCCACCCCACTTTGTTGACCGGCCCGGTTGGGTTTACCGCAGACCGGCACGGAGGTGGTTGGTGGGGTGTGTTAGGGCGCTGCACGGTGACAGGGCGGAATTGCTAACAGATAACATAAGGTACCCTAAAGTATGTTAGACCTGGATCCCATACCTGACTGGGCAAGTACATGATGCCAGTCACGGCCCGGCAACCGAGGACTACAGTCAAGAGCTCAAAGGACGGGTGTTCCTGCCTTTGATGGCGTCTGGGATTGTTCCTGGGTAAGGTGTCTATACGGATACTTTGAGTTAAAGTAGGCAGGCAGCTTCGCTAGAGCTCTTGCTATGTTGGACTCGGTACATTGATACTTCATCTTTGTGATATCTGAGAAACCTAGGTACACCTACAAGGCACAGCATGAACTTGATCTGATCAGCCAGGCGCACGCTCCAGCTGTTCATCTCATCTTCTGTCTCTTCATGGAAGGGAAAAAAAGCTCAACTTGACCTAGAACCTTTGATTCCACTAACTTAGTTGGTAGTCTACGGTACTCTTTTATAGGCCAGCCTTCAAAATATCACCAGTATCGGGCGAGCCTCGCTTCATAGTCAAATATGCACGGAACCTAAATCGAAAATAATTCCCGATCCTACAGCCAAATACCCTGGTGAATACACCAACGCAGGCCAAGCCGTCACTCCCCCCCCCCCCCTCCCCCCGCGTTGATCTCGCCCGTCCCAATAGCGTAAACGACCTGCATGCCGTCACGCTCCTTTGCCGCCTGCCAAATCATGGCCATCGCTCGCTATTCTATTTCCTTGCTTCTCCTCACCTTCCTCTCAGCTAGCAAGCTGCAAATCTCCCCTTGGCGACAACGTAACAACGCAATGCCACAAAAATGATCAGCTATAATCCCCACGACGGCGCCGTTGCCCACCCATGTGGGAAAGCTTATTCTTACTTCACTCTCTCTCTCTCTCTCTCATCGACATCCTCCCCGCTGAGATAGCCGCCATTTCTCGCACGCCCCCCACCCATCATGTCGTCCGTCATCAGGTCCGTAGGCTCGGCCCTGGGTGACGAGCTCGAGTGCTTGTTCTCTGCCTTTTCGCCTTGGTTCTATGCGTTAAAGTTGCCCTCTGCTCTGACCGGCGCTGTTGAGCTGCTACTTGTAGCCGCCGTCAATGTCACCGTCCCCGGTCCTAAGGAGGCGAGTCCCGTCTTTGATGCCTTTGTGAGCTACTCGCTCGAGTTTGCCTTTTTTCCAGACTTTGCCGGTACGTCTGCTCCATACAAAATACCCTCACAAAGTAAAATGTCACTCATCATGATATTCTAGGAAACGCCTCGGCACCAAACAAGTTCTCAGACAACCTGCTTGCTAACTTGGGTAACCTACAAGGCGTCCGCCCCTACATTCGCGTAGGCGGAAACACCCAAGACTACGCCCTCTATGATGAATCTTTCCCCTACGCCGTGAATGGCACCTACGACTTCGCCAGGTCAAAGGACTATCCGACTACCATTCACATCGGCCCCTCCTTCTTTGAGTCTTACAGCACTTTCAAGGACACCAAATTCACTCACGGTTTCAACCTAGGCCTAGGCGGCAACCGCTCAGAAGGATGGGACACCCTCAAATCCACTGTTCCCTTGGCCTGCAAAGCCATCGGCAAGGACAACCTCGACGTCTGGGAATACGGAAACGAGCCGGACCTCTTCTCCACCTCGGCCCAGGGTCCCGTCCGCCCTTCGTCCTGGAACGAGACAATCTACGTGGAGCAGTGGCTCAACGGCACTCGCGAAATCGCCTCCGTCCTCGCGGAAGCGTGTCCCGATTTTCCCAAGCCCGTCTTCATGGCGCCCTCCAACGCCGGCACCGCTAATCGACTCCGCGCACCCGCGCAATGGGCCGCCGGCCTGAACACGGATGACAACGTCGCCCTCTTCTCGACGCACAACTACATCAGCGGTGCCGAGAGCCCTGGAGTGACGCTCCGGGGCACGCTGATGAACCACACCCGGATCGTACAGTCCGTTCAGGCTCACGTGAAAGAGTACGCCAATATCACAGGCCGCTTCGACAACGTGCCGCCCCATATCTACGGGGAACACAACTCGCTGTATAACCAGGGCAAGCCGGGGCTTTCAAACTCGTTTGGCGCCGCACTCTGGGGCGTCGACTTTAACCTCTTTGCTGCGTCCCAGGGAATCAAGCGCGTTCACATGCACATGGGCACCGATTATCGTGTAAGACTCTCCTTTTCCCCTCTCCGCGGCGTCCATACTGATAGCTAAACGTCCACACAGTACCAAAGCTGGCAACCCGTTCACACGAACACAACCGCTCTCGGCACAAAAGCCCCTTACTACGGCAATATCGCCATCGCAGCCTTCCTCGCCCCGTCAAAGGCCTCCCCCACGACCCCAGTCTCTGTAGCCCACATCCCCCTCCCATCTTCCGACCAGGAAACAACATCCGCCTACGCAGCCTACCACGACGACACCCTCACCCGCATCCTCGTCATCAACCTCAACCCGCACAACTCCACCGTCAACGGCACGGGTACGACGCCCGACCCGGACAGCAACCCCGTTCGCGGGGTCAAGATGTACAGCTTTGCTGTACCGTGGGCCAATGATGTATTCGCCAATGTACGGCGGCTGGCGGCGAACGGGAGCGATGCCATTTCCGGGGTTACGTGGGACGGGTGGAGCTATAATTACGAGCTGGACGGGGGCAAGCCTGTGAGGTTGGGAAATGTGACTGTGGGAGAGACTGCGATTGTGAATAGGGGGAGGGTTACTGTTGCTGTGAGAGATAGCGAGGCTGTCATTGTTAGTCCTGTTTTGGGGTGTAGGGCGAAGAGGAGGTTGTGAAGTCTTTTCGTATTCCAAGTGACTAACATTATGATAATCCGATTTACACCCACAACTGTTTAATGCTATTCGTTTCTACAAACCACCACACTCAACAGTCCCATCCCCACCAAACAACCACCACGTACCAAGACACAAGATATCAAACAGTCGTAACACCGGCGTCACATCTCACCTCTTCTCCCCAAACTGCCTCTCCACCTCCCTCGCAAACTCCCCCACCGTATTAAACCGCCACTCAAACCCAACATCCCCCTTCGTCCCTTCCCAATCCCCTCCCACCCCTTCCCCATCCTTGACATCGCCGCCCCTCGAGATCCAAACGCTCCTCAAACCGAACCTCTTCGCGGGGACGTGGTCGGCAGTCAAACTCCGCGCGACGTGCAACAGCCCCTGTCCCCGCTCATCATCCCACTGTACACCAAACTCTTGCTTGACATGTTCAAAAAGGTAGGTGAAGTTGCCGTCGGCGGGTTTGTAGCTACCTATCTGTTCCGCCGTGTACACGGCATCAAACTCGACGGGAGAAAAATGCGTCAGAGTGCGGGAGATGTTGGAGGCGTCAATGTTGGAGAGGATGATTAGTTTGTAACGTCTTTTTAGGATGTCCAACCCGGGGATGGTATCTTCAAAGGGAATCCAGGTTCCTGGGAGGGAGCCAAAGGCCGTGGCCTCTTCTTCCGTGACATGTACACCGAGTTCTGCTGCGAGGGCGAGGAAGGAGGAAGAGAGGTTGAGGTCGTAGCGCAGGGTTGGGGAGGAGGATTGCAGGGCTGCGGAGAGGGTATCGAAGCGTTTTGTGAGGGATACTTCTGTGGGAGGGGGGTCGGTGGCGAAAGAGGAGGAAGTGTTGTTGTTGGTGTTTGTCGAGGAGGGAGGAGGAGGAGGAGGAAGACGGGAGATGATGGGTTGGAGACCGGCGCGGAGACCGGATTCCCAGTCTATCAGGGTGCCGTAGCAGTCGAAGGAGAGGGCTTTGAATTTTGTGAGGTCTGGGTGGGAGGTCATGTTGGGCAGATGATGGGTAGATGGATGGGTAGGTGTAAAAGGGATTTGTTGTCTTATAAGACTGGCTTGAGGAAGTTTTTCTCGAGTTGGGAAGAAATTGGTCAATGACACCGAAGTCCAGAACGTAAAATTTCGAAAAAAGGTCTCACTATTTAAGCTGGTAACAAAAAACAAGAAAGGAACATGAAGAGGGAGAGAGATGGAAAACATCAGTCTTTTATAGCAATTCTCAGGAAGACGGGCGTGGTGTAGTATAGTGTATTTCCTACCCAGCATCCTCAAGGGCGCGGATGACGAGCGGGGAGATCGCCACCTCGCAGCACATAGCACATCATCATCACCTTCCCCCAAAGACCATCGTATCCGATACTCTACCCATCCATTCCTCTTTGGGCTGTACGAATGAAAACGAAAAAGCTCATAAGCTTGCAAACATGGTCAACGGTAGAAGTAAAGCGGTGACAAACAGCGTAGAATTAAAAAAACAACGTCCTCAAAAGAAGTGTCATGGGTATCAACAATACCAATAAGCCTGCCTTACACGCCATAATCCTACCCAATCGAATGTAAAACCTCAAAACCCTGTAATCGCCATTTGTACAGTCCAACCAGTTTGCATACTCTGACAATTCCATCCACAGCCGCCTCTTCTCAGCGCCAAAAACACTTCGCTAATAACCACCTAATTCAACCGCGGACTCTTCCTTCTGGGCCCCAAGCTCGACGAAAAGGACGAAGGGGGCAGATTCTCCCGCCCCTCGATGGGAAGCAAGCTAGCATGCTTGCGACCCTTCACCACAGGCCTCGTCGAGGTCCGTTTGCTAAACAGCAGCGGGGCCGTGTTCTCGTTGATGGACATGATGCTCGTCGCCGGGTCGAAGCCGTGGTTACCGGTCGTGTTGGGGTTCACTTCGCGAAGGCTCATGTTAAAGGGGGGCATTTCCGAAATCATACTAAGGGCCGACATACGAGTCGACGTGCGCGCCGGTGGCGGTGACCGGGACATGTCGTTTTCCGTGTCCGAGAAGACCATAGCTTCGGGCGCGGGCTTGGTGGGTGTGGCGGAATCGCTGAGCTCGGCGAGGAGAACCTCGTGCGCTTCAGTCCGGGGCAGATCGGTCGGGTACCGATACTGGACCTTCATGGGCGTCTCTCCTGTCGGGCGGTACTCCTGGATGGTTGTCGTTTCAATGTCCTTGCGGAGCGCGGTCAAGGGCTTCGACAATTGCTGAGTCAACGGTTCCAGCCCTTGCTGCATCTCCTCGGTTTCGGTCTCCATCTCCTCGCCAAGGTCCTTGACACGGTCAAAGGTAGTCTTGAAGTGGCTCGAGATGTTGCCGAACGACTTCTCCACAGTAGATGATAGGCCCTGCATGGACTCGTTGTGGCGTTCGTGATGCGAGGCGTTCTCGGAACGAGCGCGAGTGACAAAGTCGTCCAGCGCTTCCATTTGGACGTCGAGGTCCTTCAGTTGCTCGTCCACAACACGAACAGTCTCGGCGTGAACCGACTTCGTGGTTGCTTGGATAGCCGTGCTGTGTTCCTCGGCGACCTAGTCGTTTGTTAGCATCTTGTGCAGCCATTCATGGCGCCTCTTCCACTTACAGTCCAGTCATCCTTCACCTTCTTCTTCATTGCGTCACGAGACTTGGCCACATCAACAAGGAAGTGGCCTTCCTTGGTATCCCATGCGCCCATATCCTCAGAATACTGGGTCACGGTGTCTTGCAGCGTCATATTCGTGGCCAAGACCTTCTTTTGCAACTGCGCAGTCTTCTCGGCGAGGCGCGTCTCTTGAGTTGTCGCCTGAGTATTAATCAGGGATGCAATCTGGGTCAACAGATTTTGTCGGTCCAGTGCCGCTTGCTTCCTCTCCTCATCCAACACTCGCTGCATCTGAGCCGAGGTGGCCTCGTTCTCCTCGATAACATTGCTGGTTGCGCTCTCGAGCTGTTGTCTTAGTTTGTCGGATTCACTTCGCTGTTCTGTGATGTGCTTCACGAGTTCCTCAAACATGCTCTTGAACTCCTTGCCCAGAGAGCTGTACGAAGAGTGCAACTATGGATATGTTAGCTTTCAAGGCCGGCCAAAAGTATCCGCAATGTCTTACCTGGCTGTGGAAAGTGTCGAGCTCGCTGAGGACATCTGCCGCAATGCGCTCCGCAGCACCAGCAATGGCATGGAGACTCTCTCCGACCTGCTGCTTGACGGTGTCGCGCACGACCTTGATCTCCTCGAGAACATCGTCCATCTCATCCTTGGACTTCTCGTTTTGTTCCAAAAGCTCCTTTCTCGATTCCGCAAATGAGTCGAGCTGCTCGTCGAGGAACTGCTGGGTAGAAGACAGCTTTCCCAACTCTTCGCTGACAAAAGCGTTCATGCGCTCAGAGATACCCGAGATATTTTCCCGCTGCTTCTCTTGGAAAGTCTGTACACGCTGCTCCACCAAGTTCGTCACCTCGGACACTTCGGCTTGTGCTGTGCCCCATGCGCTTCGGTTAATGGATTGGAGCTCCGACTTTCGCTTGTTCTTCGCTCTAAGACCATCCACATCGTGGACCGTCTTTTGCAGGGTCGCAATGAGCTCTCCACCAACTTCGACCAGCTTCTCCTCGGTTTCCTGGTGAGCCTTGCGGAGATGAGTCTCCTCGGCGAGGCTCCTTCTTGTGGCCTGAAGCACGACCTCAGTCTGTTCGAGAACTTCCTGGGTCTCATCGAGCTCGGCCTTGGTACCTTCGTGGTCTTTCCGCAGCCCCATGAAGCTAGATGTCAGAGCGAATAGCTCCTGCACCTTGTTCTTCAGGTTACCCTCGAGAGTTTCCATCTTGGCTGCCTGTTCCTCCATGACAATGCGACGCGATTCGCTCTGTGCCGTCATCTCCTCGTAGCTCTCGTTGGAAAGGTAAACACCGTTGCGTTGCCGGGTCGTAATCAGCTCGCTCTTCAGCCTCTCAATCTCGGTCGCAAAGTCCCTGAGGAGCATCCTCTTGTTGATCATTGCGTTCATCTGCGGCTTGTTGCGGATATTCTTGGCCCGGAATGCATAGTCGAGTGTTGAGATTGTCTCCTCGAGGTTGCTCTTTGCCGGCGAAATGGTGGCAATGATACACGTCTTCGTCTGTCCGCCCAAGGAGTCTTGCAAAAGTCTCGTGAGCTTCGACTCTCTGTAGGGGATATGTTGGCCCTTGTCGACCAACGCGTTGATGACGCGGCCGAGTGTCAGAAGACTCTTGTTGATCAAGCCCGCCTCGGCAGCCCGCTTGTTCTCCGCCCCGGATCGTTGAATGTTCTCACTACCGGCCAAATCGACGAGGTTGAGCTTGCCGGCGCTAACGTAGTCGTCACTTCCATCCTCGCCCTTCTTGCGGACGTAGGCGGTAACAGTGAAGACCGTGTGACTCCGGGAGCTGAGATCGTTGCACTTTGTCGCCGCGACCTGGCGCTTCAAGCTTCCATCCTGAAGAACCTTGATACCTTCACCGGCGTTTCTAATGTGTCTCTCTTCCATGCCCTGCACCACTGTCGTCGCGTGTCTCCTCGATGTGTCGTCAAAAATCTTCAACTTCGGGCCGTCCTCGACAGCAATCAGATCGCGTAATTCTTCGTTGTAGAGTTCGATGAATGAGCACTTGACGCAGCTTTCGGTGTCGTCCACTTCGAGTTTGTTGAACAGCGCGTGGAGAGCTCGGGGGATGATGCCGGCATTATCAGAAAGGAGACCAAGGGTTTCTGTCATGTCACCTGACATGGTGTATGTCTTGCCCGTACCGGTCTGGCCGTAGGCGAAGATTGTGCAGTTGAAGCCAGCGAGCATCTACACTGTGTCAGCCAAATGTCAATATCCAGGTAACATCCAAAACGCACCTCATCCAAGATGGGCTTGACGGTATCATCAAAGACCATGGTCTGGTCAGCAGCGGCCGAAAAGACGCGATCAAAGTTATAAGTCTTGTTGCTCAGCGCATTCGGGCCGAGCTTCAGTTCGACGTTCTTGCCCTTTGCGCCATCAGCCTGGACGACGACGGCGCTGTTCTCCTTGACTTCGCGATCGTTACGGCCTCTGCATCGGACGACGACGTTGATGTTGGTTTCCTGGCCCGGCGTATCAAAGTCATATTCGCGCTCCTTACGCTTCGTCGCGTTGGTGGCGACCGAGGCGACTGATTCGGCGGGCGAGGCGGGACGCTGTGTCTGGGAAGGGCCATGCTGGTATCGCAAGTTTGAGGTCCGCGTTCCCGGCCGCACGCTCGAGCGAGCCGCGGCGCCGGTGCGCAGATTCGACGAGGCCGTCCTCGTCAGCTCCCGTCTGGAGCTCATGGTTGAGGCTGATAGTGTCTTTCTTTTTTCGAATATTCGATTTGTGGCGGTGGTGAGTATAAAAGTTTGAATGAGGATACAATTCAGAATCGCAAACAACAGCTCGCCGGGGGGAAAGTAGGTGCCGTTTCGTGTTGAATGGTGTGAAAGTTAGAGCCGTCAAAAAGTAGTGGCAGTCGTCGGCATATCATGTTGACAATTACCAGGGTTAGTAAATAGAAGATGCGCGCTAAGTGGGGGCAAGCTCTGTGGTTGGTCTGCGGAGTCTGCCGTCACCCGAGCAACCGCCCCACTAGCTCATATGCCCACCGTTATTTCCTCCCCGTCCTCACCGGTGTCTCGGTCTGGTTCCTCACCACTCACCGACGTCGGCTCACCGAGATACACTGGTACTATAACGCACTTCGATTCACGGTGCAACGATGGATTCGGTATATGATATTCTACGTTTCTTTGCTTCCACTTCGGCTTCAAGTCTTCTACACAAAGCCGCAAAAGAGACTTATTCAGTATAATAGTAAGCTGTGCGAGAAACTAATGCATGTCTTCTGTCAATACGGTAGGTAGCCTTGACAAAATCGCGAATGCGTCTTTCATCCCCTTTGGCCATCAAGCCGATAAATTCATCCGCATAAGCGTACCAGCCCAAGCAGGCTTATTGGCACGCGTCAAGCTGAAATCGTCAACGACAACAAACCCCTGCCTTTCGTAGAACCTGTTCTCCGTCGTTAGAAATGATCGCATCATCTCAAATAACTCCTCTGCCGCACTCACTTGTTCAACTTCTTCTCGTTGCCAGCCCACGCATCAACATAAAGCTCCCGCATGCCCTCCTCGACACCGTACTCCTTGGCCCGTCGAATAAGCGCTTCTCCAGCGCCCTTGCGATAACGACCTGTCCGATAGTCCGTGACGATGACATCAAGATACACGAAATTGTCCTTCTTCCCCTCCAACTCGTCGCGAATCTTCTTCTCTTGATCAAACTGCCTCTTAACATGGCCCGGAAGCCAATTCGTGCGCACGAACGCGGCGCCGACAGATACGTAGCGCTTTCCGTCCTTGCCGACCCTGTACCGAAGGCCCGGCTCGTCTTGCCCGGCGTCGTGCGGGGTACTCGCCGTAGCGGCCGTCGGGGACCCAACCTCAATCTCAGCAATGAAGATTCGCAAAGCATCGCCTTCGCCGGTAGTCCGGTACCTCTCCGACGCCGCCACATCCTTGAGGTTCTCCTCGACGAAGCCGTTTTTCTGGCTAAAGGGCTGCGACCCCCACATCGCGCCGCTGCCGATGGCCGCGAGCGGCGCGAGGGTCGAGTCGAAGGCTTCTACGATGAAGTCCGCATCGTGAGAGGCTAGGCCAGCGTCTCTGACGTTCATTGGATTGATATCTTCGAGAGTGCGCCGCAGAGGCTTTGTCTCCGAGGCTGAGTGGCGATTGTATGGCAAGATGGAAAATTGTCGACGGCAAAAAGCAGGGTTGAAGGTCCCGATTAACATGCTCACCTACCTATTCAAGGTATAGTCAGCACCGCTTGAATCCTTTCCCATGTCGATACCAACGACACAGTGTTGAGAGAGCCACACCTTTAAACCCGCGAATCAGAAGCGGCGAAAGCGGCGAAAGCGGCAAGGCTTTTGATTCTTCGCTTGGAGAGAAGACCACGTCACACGAATGGATTCCGGCTCTGATGAGTAGATGATGGATGGAAAGGTCAAACTTGGCTTCATTGCGTTCACTGTGTGCGTTACGTCGTAACGCATCGTGTGCTCGAAGCTGCTCGAACCATACCTTGAGTCGGATCTATCTACTTCTTGGTTCTCCGAATATTACGCTTGTCGCTGGTGTCTACTTGACCAAGTGAAAGGATGCTATCCAGGCACAAGATGTGGTCGCAAGGATTCATCATTAGTGATGGGTTTTGATTGTATCTACATTGTGAGATGTACCAGTGGATTCTACTCAATGATGGCAGCTCGAGTTAAATGGACGCCTGAACGCCGACTCGCGGGCCGTGGTCGCCGGTGCTGAACTCATCAGGTACTAATCTGACGTTCGCTGACTTTGAACGTCCGCCAACGCATATTAGTTTGCTTACCACAACTAAGCCATGGTACGTTGTCTACGTACTTCCAAGCACTCGCAGTCGACATGCCGTTCATGAAGACGGCGTGGCCGACTCACGTTGCGGATCATCGTTGCACCACTGCATGAGGTGAACCCTATCGCCGACGGTAGTTGCTCTCAGATATCAGATCAAACTTTGACACGTCTTGGCACAGAGAGTGAGGCGAGCTTAACGCGGATGAGACTGCCTCGAGGCAAGCTTAGGCGGAAGCCGTTCGTAGCGACCTGCTTTCTTCAACGGGGATGCGATCACTCGTAGGTGCTCAACTTGCTACGCCAGGCAATGTTTCGTGGACGTCAAGATGAGCCATACTCTTTCAGTCCACGTCTTTGATGTCAATGATCTCCATTGTGCCGACATGTTAAGGCATGGGGCAACTGAGGTCCGACTGAGCTGTATCTGCCGGATTCAAGCGCTGGTATCATTGGGCATTGAGGCACCTACGTTGGGCATGAGTGCGAATTCGATGTTTAGCTATGCAATGGGATTCGATTGCAATGGTCCAGAGAGTAGGAGGTAAGTGAGTTGTGCATGCGACTTTTGAGGCCATAATCTGTGCGTGATCACACGGTCGGCCCACTTGTCGTCTTGAAACTGTCCGCTGACGCCGGCATCGATCTGCAAGATCCATCGTCGTACTTCAAGTTGAAGAACAAAACCCAACAGTAGTGGCACTGACGGGCAAGTCCGCGTATTCTTGAAGAGTCGAGTCAAGCAGCGATTGTGGAACCAGCACCTCTGCCGTAAAGGTTGTCGACCTGATATGACGAAGTCAGTGGAGATATCTGTCTGAGGAGAATGACCAGAGAGCAGCTCACAGACGTTTCCCTTGCTTTTTTTCTACTTGACGGCATGATCGTACCTAGCGCAGTAAATTGCGGACCCCAAGAAATGCAAGATACCCCGGATCGGGGACGCCGTAATTCTTGCAGGATTTGACGAATACAGCCTGAAGTATTGTAGTCTAGAAGATGCAAAGAAGCACTCTAACGACGAGAATTGCGATGAGACCGAGCGACAGACGGCTCAGATAGATCTTGGATGCTGATCCCATAATTCTATCGAAAAAGTACGGTTTAGAGCTGACGGCCATGCTAGTGCGTGATATGATCAGTCTGGCCCGTGGAAAGGTCGCTTGCTCATCCTCGGTCGCCTATTCACTTTTGCAGAGTGAATCCTGGGCACATCCAACTGTCGAATCCATCATCTTGCTCGTCACAGATTTGTGAGACATCGATCCCGTGTCGGTCTGTTGATAGTAGAGGCATCGACAAGCTTGCTAAAGGTTAGCCATTGCTTTGAGATTGACGTGATTCCTTAGTCGATCGGCAGCCAGAAAGCTGCTACAGCTGCGTCAGGAGATCAACTGGTGTACATCCAGACATGACCAGACAAGACAGCCGTAACTCCCGGGACCTCATTGGGTTCTAGTTCTGATGACTGAAGAGTAAGAGCATTCGCTGCACCGACCAAGAACCGCTCTCTATGCTTATTCCGAGAGGCGCAGCAAAGTCAATTGAAAGGCAGGGCGAATCCGAAGACGAGGTACGAGTCCCGCGGCCAGCCGAACATCGTGGCACAATACCAGCGGGAGGTAGATATGAGGCGGCAACTTGAATATCATCGGCCCGCGTTTCTATTGATGTACATCAATGAGTCTTAGCAGCACTTTGGGTTCCCATTGATGAGAGAAAAGAAAGTAAGTGCAGGCACTGCTTGAGACAGTGACAGGAACGGTAAGACTATTGGCATGAGATTGGTGAAATAACACGGCGAAAGGCGTGCGAAATGGCCTGTGATCTAGTTCAGGCCTCCTATTGAGTACTAAGGGATGTACAGGCAGTTCTTCATATGTCAATGCCAATTCCGAGCGAGCCGTAATGGTGGGAGGACTGGCCAGGAGGTTGATTGAACGGCGTGAGAAATGTGGGATGCTGTGGTCCATCGTTGTAGAGAAGTAGATTGAGCTAACAAGAATAGGTGAAACAGAGTGAGAGTTCGTCGAACGAAGGTCTGTGGGCATCAGGCCTTGGAGGCTTCTCCGTGCTCAGCTTCAGGCGAGAAAAAGCGAAATCTACCGAATGGAGCATCTTGCTGGCCGTCGCAAGCATACTTGTTGCAGAGAAGGGATAGTTTCTATGCGGAGACAGTAGGGAAGCCGGTGGAGAAGCCGGAAGTCTTGTGTGAGGGGACTGGACAGACTTTCCGGAGGTATGTCCGGTGGCATCCAATGTGTCCTGGTCTTTGGCAAGATCTGTCTACTGGCCTCTGTTGGCTGACGTTCGTGTACGGCAGAAGTTCATAATTTGGTTGCAACCCTGCAAGCGAATGGAAGAGGCGATTCTCCGACGAGCCAAGAGGTTGCGTTGGCACAAGGTTGAGATGATGTTGATGCCAGGTTGGCTGTGTTTTCTACTAGTACTTCAAAGACATAGTTGGATACTTAGGGCAAAAAGAATACTGTGAGACGAGCTGAAAATATCTGTCTTGGCAAGCACTTTATTCAATGTCGCCTTCCCAGTGTCTCTGGAATGTGAGTTACACTGGTACCTTGATCGTGACTTGTCGTGCTTGCAGCGGAAGGAAGTTCAATCGCCTCCAACAGCTTCTCCATCCTCCACTGGTTCTGCGACTTCCCCCCAGGTCCTGACTGGGGGGTTCCGTTGGAGCTTGCTGGCCGATTAGATAAGAGCTCATGGCCCCTGCATACCTACCTACCTAGGTGTGGATCTGCTGCACCTCCCGTTAATGACTCTGATTTGCTTAGGTGGCGTTATCTTGTACCTTGTACCTCTGATAAGCAAGTGACGTCTCATTCCGACCCCACGCCCCGCTAGTCCGTTGTCACTGCTGCAGCATCACATGAACCCCTCTGACGGACCAGTGAACAACGACAGGAGAACAACTTGCGCCGTCTCTTCTGCTGAATCTCGGAACACTCTCCTTCTCTCATACACATCGCCTCTACGCAAGAAATTACACAAACCACCAGTAGCCATATCTCATACCACCATATCCATTCTAGAACCCAACGCAGTTCCTGCAACAACACCGCCCTGAACACTCGGCGGACCCCGCGCTGAGCCCCGATCTGATTGCTCATCATGTCGCTCTTCACTGCGCAATTGCACCCAGGACGAGCCCTGGGATTTCTCGGTTTGCATGAACTCTGCCTGCTGTAGTACACACTCGGACGCTAACTCTATTGCTTGTCGCTTAGTTCTTGGAGCGTCCTTGCATGATGTCTTGACGCGACTGAAGGCCGAACCGCAACGCTTTCCACAACTCGATCTTGCCTACTCCCGCGAGCAACCCGTCCAACAGCCCGTAACCCTCAGCCTCCCTGCCAACGGTATACGCCTTCGATTCGACGGTCCGGAACAACGTCTGCGTCTGATAGAGATTGTCGACTTCACCAAGAATCATGTCACGTTTAAGGACCGTGATCTCGTCAAACCCGCCAACGCGCAAGGGCCGCCATCGTCTCCAGTTCCCGGAGAATCTACCTCCGGCCCAACCTTCCGACAAATCTACCACCGCTTGCTCGGACCAACCTACGGTGGAGAGTACATACCTCCTACACCCGATTCCTCCGATAACCTGGGTAATTACATACTGTCCTACCCTGGCGTTGCCTTTACCTTCCGACTGGCCGAATCTGCATACTCCCCCAATAAGGATGTAGTGTCACTCCTCTCTGCTGCAACAAGCCAGGTGCCCACATCCATGGCTGTCTTCAGCGGAGACTCGTGGGCCCAAGCTCGAGAGAGCCTTTGGACAGAGGTTCTCCCCAGTGTCAAAACGGTTCCCGTGCTTCCAAGGGGGAAGGATGTCGTTCCCGACGAAATCTCGCTGGTCAAGATTCATGGGGGTGGGAAGCTCCAGCTGTTCCGCAAGTGGACTAACTCGTCCCTTTGGATTATCCTGGGAGAGACGAGCCCACAGGAGTTGATCGCTGAGCTCGGCCCCCCGAACGCTACTTATCGGAAGAACGACCAGAGGATGACAATACACCAGCTTCGGACGGCGAGCCACAGCAGAGCTCGGTCAAACGGCGCTGACTTGAGTCGGCCAGACGATCTTACTGACACTGACCAATCATCTGCCAACACTGGCTCAGACGATTCCAACGATGAAGCCATCGAAGAAGACATTGCCGGAAACGTTTCTGGCGAATGTTTCTATAACTACTTCTATCTAGGATTTGATGTGTTGGTGTCCACCCCCTCGCCCCCATCAAGACCACCGCCTTCGCAATATGAGTCTCAAGTGCCACCAGGAAAACCCATCAAGTCGGAATCTCCTGATCGACTGGTTGCCACGAAACTAGTCCTTCATGGTAATGTACCTGGATCATATGAGTTCAACAGACACCGTCGCTGCCGTTGGGAGGTTAGCTATCTTGACGATGGCTCTTCGGGTGCGGCAGCAAACTCAGAGACCAAGTTCACCGAGATTAAAGATAGACTGAACGAACGGTGGAACAGCGCATACCCGGAAGGCGACTCCAGAGCCCCGCAAAGAGGCATGGTTCTCAATAGGGGCTGGGGTGATAGCCCCGGCAGCAGCTGCGAATTTCTTGGAGGTTGGGAGGACAGTGGCGCCAAGAGATTTGATGGCAGCGACGATTCAACCACTACTCTATTTGGATTCCCCGGTCTCGTGTTTGAGGTACTCAAGAACGATCATGTTAACACGGTGACTGTGTTTTAGGTTTGGGTTGGGCATAAACCTGGGGTCAGGTGGTTTGGCGATTGAGCGGGCAGGAATTGCAACGGCCACGGAGCTCCAAAGTTGGCGGGGAAGACGAGGCTACAGAATGGCCGCGATATCCCTACAAAAAAGTTGGGGTTATGCTCAAATCCAGATGCATATTCAGACACCACCACTTCGCATCCCTTTTTAGCCTCGTTCTCAGGCTTGTCCACCAACTCAACATGGAACAGCTATGACGTGGCTGATATCAGATTCTCATTTTGCGAGGCTTCTCTCCCATCCACTTGCAATAATCCATCTGATTTTGCATTCATGCAAGACAGACTTGGGATATTTCAGCTTTGTCCTCGCTTTACTTGACGGTCTGACTCGGGCCATGTTTCGGGAGCCAAGGGCTTCCATTGCATTGCGACCAGCACCTACCATGTTGTAAAGCTCCAGCAGCTCCGAGCTGGCCGCATGTATCGAACACCTCCGAAGCTGTATCGAAAACAATAAATAATACAGCTAGAAGCCTCCTGTGGTCTGCAGCAGCATAGAACAGTCAGTTATTCATTGAATACCCAGAGATACCCCCCAAAGATACCCATATACCCCCCTCGTTCGCATCATGGCAAAGAAGACCGCACCGGCAGGAGCCCAGAACACCAAGCAGAATGCTTTGGCTCTTAAGCGCTACCTCCCGCGCAAGCTTAGGGAAGCTGCCGAGGACGAGGCCGCAGTGGAGAAGGGAGTTGGACACGACCTGATTATCTACAGCTTCGATCGCCCTACCGGCCAGTATGGATACACGCCCTTCTCGATTCAACTGCGTCTTCGCCTTCGCCATGCTGGTATTCAGCACGTAGACCGCGCTGCCAATATCTTCCAGGCACCCAAGTACCGGGTGCCCTACGTCAAGCTTGCCGACTCAGACGAGCTTGTCGGCGAGTCGCAGTTTATCATTAAGCGTCTCGTTCAGACTGGCAAGCTCCAGGACCTCAACAAGGAGCTCTCTCCCTCCGACCAGGCCAAGGATGCCTGCATCCGAGCTATGCTGGAGGACCGCGCTTACTTCCTCATCGTAAGGAGAACTTGCAATAGGATAGTGAATGCAGGAGACGCTAACGCTCAACGCAGTTGTACGAGAGATGGCGCGGCCAGTACGAGATGATGTGGCATGATGGCCCCTTCTCCCACTTTGTTTGGGGCGCCAAGCAGATCTCTACCCAGGCGGCTCGCGGCTACGTCAACTCGCAGCTCTGGTTCCAGGGTGTCGGCCGCTACTCTGACGAAGAGGTTAAGGCCTTCGCCACCGACGTTGTCATGTCCCTGAACGGCTTCTGCGAGACCTCGCTGTCGAAGCTGAGTCTCGATTCGCGGGAGTCCCGAGAGCCCTTCTGGATCCTGGGCGGACAGCGTCCATCCGAGGCTGACTTTATCGTCTACGGCAACCTCGCTACTGTCCTTGGCACCACTGTGTAAGTACTCGCATGATCATGGGAAGGACGAAATGAAAGATAGAGAGCTAACACATCACTACACAGCAACCCCGTCCACGCCGCTCTCATCCGTGAGAAGCCCGCCCTGGTCGAGTACATGGGTCGCATCCACGAGCGTTTCTTCTCCGAGTACAAGTCCCCTGTTCACGCTTAAGTTGGTTAGGGTGAGATACCCCGATACCCAGGTCACCCCAAATGCGAGAGACTCTCTGCGCCCACCTCATGTTGTTGGTGATTTTCTTTTCCCTTTCGGGCCCGCCAGGTACACGGGGATGGGCTCTGCGTTGGATTCTTTGTATGAATTTGGACACTGAAGGGGTGGGACGGAAGCTCAGAAGAACGGGAAGGAAGGGGGTGATGCTGGTAACAGGCCCTCGTTAGGAGTGCACAAAATACCTACCTCGAGTCCCTCTGATGTTTCCTAGAGCTATAATAATCTGTCCTCTCCATGTTGCTTTCGTGTATCAGATTGTATTATTGGTGCTCATCATGTGTGGTATGAAGACGAGGATGATGCCAAGTTTTGGAAGATGCGTATAGGAGATTCTAAGGGCCATCAACAACAGAAGTGGATAGGTAGTGCGTATTTAGGCAAACGTATTCGTGGAGCTCCTTCCCCCCGAGGCTACTATCCAGGCACCCTTCTCATCCCAACCATCACCAACCACCATCCTCATTCACACACTGCCCGCCGCCACCGCCTCAGTAGGTCTATAGGAAACAATTTTGCTCGATATTATTACCAAGGCCTGTGTCGTAGCGGAGAATGTCGGCGCATCTGCGCTCCGATAGCTCCCGCACACATAGGTCCCGGGTTTGAGTCCAGTGCTGTTTCTTGTAAAAATCCTTACATCGTTACACCTGAGGCTGGTAAGAGTCTCCTCGGATCTTTCGTAGGTTTTCCTTGTTATAGGGAGCTGAGCTTTTTGTATCTTTTTTGGTGTTTACCTGTCCGTCATTCCGGTTTATTTCTCTCGTCGTGATCATTGATTGAAGATGTAATTTATACGATGGGACTTTTTGTATTGGGCTTTCAAGGGATATTACACGATACGATAGCAGATGGCAGCTTCGACTATTGATTGGAACGAGCAAGTCGGGCATCTTTAATGCCAAGTTTTGGCTTTGAAGTACTAGAGCGCCAAGCTGGAGACGAAGAAGCACAATGCCAAGTCATACCGCTTAAAGAACATCAGACCGCAGCTCTTACGCTGTGTCCAAAATTGCACTCGGCTCTATCGATGTAGTGGTGCAGACACATCCTATAAGTTTTGGGTCTTCTTCTACAATGCAATGGGGAAATGGAGGCCATGTGGTTGGGAGATGTCGAACATATGTTTGAAGCAGGGAGACCCTTTCAGATGCAATGGGCGGTCTGATCCGGGAAACCTTAGCGCGGATCGGGGGCCCGGGGGATCCCTTTACCTGCCGGCTTAGCGCGCTCAACGAATGCTTGATGTCAAAGGCGTAGTGGTTTTCCGTGCAGTACCTATTCTTGCCTCAGCTGGAGATTGGAGGCTTGATGTCCCTGGCGACGTTGGGAGAATAAAACATGCGAGACAAAGGAGTTCTTTGTCTGTCGTGCCGTTGGTCGGCAGGTACCGGTACTTCTCCGCCTGGCCTACCTAGACCATCCCCGTGTGTCTCTTCCCTTACGATTGGACGGAAATTGCTGCTTGTTCGGGTCTGGAGGATGTTCCGCTCCGGCGATTGCCGAATCGGGTGGAGCCATTCTTCTGCATGTGTGGGGTCACAGGGTGGAGCAAATCTTAGCGTGGTCGGCTGCAACGCCACGGCAGAGCTATGGGGGAGGTACGGAGTACTTGCTTGAGGTTGCTTCTGCCAGGCTTTTGCTGCGTAATGGGTGAATGGGTACTTTGTATTCGCAGGCGTTGAGAAGGAGCACGTACTGCCTACCTAGAGCTCGCTGGGAACCCTGGACCGTGTTTGTCCGTGTGCTCGCCGCTTTGCCTTGCTCCTGCCGCTGCCGCTGTCGCTGCCACTGGTGCTCCTACAAACCTGTTGCTGCTCCTGTACCTTTACGTACAGTCGAAAGTTGGACTGCCACGATCCTGGGCAGCGAGAGATCGACGCCAACTTATGCTCAGCTGGCACATGTCAATGCCCTGTTTCGGCTCGGACGAATCAGCGCCAACATTTCCAAAATCTTCGTCACCTTTTCGTCCCTTCACATGGGGTGTTCCGTTACTTGGCTCTTTTTTGACTTGTCTTGAACCCGGCTATCCACCCCCTTGCATCCAACCAAGAGTACCATGGGAGTCGCGAACCCCTAAAAGTTCCCCCCTCATCTTTTTACCCAGCCGACACTTTCCATCGCCCGCCCACTATCCCAAGACCGGACGGACGAGAGCAAGCTAAGCTTGACGACGACAACAGCGACTACGAAGACGACGACCGAACGGCGTCGAAACCGACCAACGGGCTGGTGACAACGTACATCACAGCTTGGCCGGCCATGCGAGCATCTCCGCCGTCATGACGGAGAAAGATGCCGCCCAGCAGCGTGCCATTCTCACGAGGAAGCTGAGCCCGCATTCCATGCCTGGCGATAGGGGCAGCAGCAGGGGTAGCTACGAGACAGGCGAGTCGAGTGCCGCCGGAAGCCTCCTCAACGACACGACGCTTCTGCCATCGCCCGACGAGTCCAGCGGTGCGCGCCGCCCACTTGCATCGAGCCCGAGAGATGCTGAACATACAAATGGATATCATGGGGGAAGGGCCGACGCCAGGAAGCAGCAGCAGAGAGCTCCTAGGCATCGCTCTAACGGAGCCTTTTTGCTGCAGGATGCCTTTCGCAACGATGACGATTCCGAGGAGGAGGAGCAGGCACCCCGACTACGGCACACAACGCGAAACATACCACCCAGCCGGAGAACGAAAGACTCGGGAAGGGCATCAGACAGGTCTGGATCCAGTGCTGGTCGCGATGCCGGCTACGGACTCGCTGGGCTTGAGAGCCCGCCAAGGCGGAATGGCGATTCGTCACCGCCGCAACCTACGAATAAACTGACGGTCAGGAAACGGGATGCGCCCAACGGCAGTAGACCGTTGTCGGGAACAAGCTTCGCGCCGCCTGCGAATGCCCCACTCGATATCGATTCGGCGCAGATCGTGAATATGGCTCTTAACTTGAGCGAATCTCGACGGCAGGTGTCGCGAAGGATCGCCCCACCTCAGGCTGTGCCGACGCTGGCACAACTTCCAGACGGAACGACGGGCGCCAACCTCAAAAACCATTTGCAGAAACAGAGGAGGATGTCGAGGACGAGGTCCCCAGGCCCTGAAAAGGCACTGACTCCGCGATTGCCCTCGACGGGGATGCTTAGCAGCCCGCTGCAGGCGACATTCGACATGAGCCGGGAAGGCACCTTTCGAAACCACTTTACCGCGTCGACCTTGGCACGAGTACAAAAGGCAAAGGAGCACCTGGAGCTGATGGCCCAATACAGGCGCCTGTTGGAGCTGGTTCCACCCATACAGTCGCACAACCAGAGCCGCCCAACGACCGCCAGTCCGCCCACGTCCTCTGGAGGAGTTGCGAGGATTCCTACATATGGCAGTGCCGATGGCAGCGTGCGGCTGGGGCGTCCTTACAATCCTTTACAATACATCCGTAATAGAAAGGTGCGGGCTCGGGAACGCAAGGCGATCGATGGCGAAGCCCAGGGTTTTGGAGACTTCATCAAAGTCGCCGACTGGGTTGATGAGGTGGCCAAATGGGCTGCGACGGGCCAGACCAGTACGGATGGCTGCACACTGCCGCCTTTCACGGATGCAGACGTGGTGGAGCAGCAAAACGCCCTTCAAGCTACCACCAGTGCCAACAAGCCGAGAAGGCCAAGGCTGGATTGGACCATTGACGCAGCGGACCTACTCGCCGATGTGTATTGGCTGGAGCAAGATCACCACAAGCAGCTGATTGAAGATCGTCACTGGCGCCGAATCTTCCCCCAGAACGTCGAACTGCATAGACCTTTGTCTAGGCAGAATGAAGAGTATGGCAGCGAATCAGGACAGACACCAGGGCGTAAGGAATACGAAGGAATAGGTACCGTGATCGATCCGAAATCCAGCAACCCAGGGCTTGCCAAGTCGGACACGGAACATTCTACAGCGAGCGCTCGAGAGCGTGCCCGCCAGAAGCTGCATGATCTTACTGGTCATCATCATCATCACCACCACCGGCACAGCAACTCCGTGCATAGTCACTATGACTGGAAGAACGGCAAGAACTCGGTTTCTGATCTGTCTGAGAGCGAGAATGAAGGCAAGCTCAGAAAGGAGAGGAGGAACCGGGCAGGTACGCTCACCAGCAGCCATCAAGACATCTTAGAGAAGCAGATGCTTGAAATGATTGCCAAGGAAGCGTGTGAAAACGGCCCCAAGAAGCCGGATGGATCAGGGTACGTGACGCCGGAGCGGAATGCTGGGGTCACTTCACATCCACAGTCACGGCAACACAGTCGGAAGGCATCTATCGTGGAGGCGAGCGAGTCTGATGAGAGGAAGAGTAAGGAAAAGCCTCGCTTCACTCCACAGCACCTTCAACGCGGCATGGGAAGGCCAAGTCTAGAGATCCCGGTGCCGGCAAGGAGAACCTCGTTCGAAGTCGACTCGTCTCTCCCCAACTCCCCAGACGGCGCCATTCGTGGAGATCCCTTCATCCCCGCGCTCGGCGGAGATCTTTCACCCGGGTCAAGTCGGGCGAACTCCCCTACTCGAAACCCGTTTTCCAAGGTCAAACAAATATTCCGCGAGCGTAGCAAGGAAAGAGGCTCGCGTATTTCGGAAGAGAGATCCAGCGCGGAGGATCTGGCCAGCGTGTCCAAGACGCCATTTGAAGTTTCGCCTGAATCCTCAGGAGATCGAAAGTCTATGGACAGAAGGGGCTCTTCTAGAAGTCCGTCTCGGAAGGTTGTTCAACGTCCAACAGGCGAAAGCCACAAGTCTCATCGCAGCACTGCTAGCACCAAGCTGCGCAGTGACGACGCGGGAATGCGAGGGTTATTCAAAGGGGCTCGTATCGACAATGTTATACGTGGTGGCGTGTCAAAGCTTGGTGATTTGATCTGGCGTAAAGAGTCGGATACTGGCGATGGCCCGTCCGAAGCCGAAGGCACCACGACGGATGAATCAGACACCGAGCAGAGAGGCAGGAAAAGAGGAGAGACGCCGCTCTCGCGGACAGCCTCGATCAGAAGTCAGAGTATGCGCCAGCAGAACGGCAAGAACTACCTCGACATCATGCCTGCCTTCGAGTCTTCCCACGAGAAACTGAGGCACATTGAGAGCGAGCCAGCGAGACTTCCAGACACATCACCGCCGTCAGCAAGCCGTAAGTCGCCTCGCTTTGACAGGCTGAAGCCGCCGCGTATCGATATCCTGAGCGCAAGTCCAACCTCGTCACCCGGATCGACAAAGCGCTTATCAGATGTCTCGGAGGGCGAGCCACTCTCTGGCAACCATAGTGCTGGACTGAAGGAGGCGGACAAGCGTCTCAACAACATCATCGCCGTTCCGCCCTCATTCCCACCCGATGGCCGTCCTGGATCTTCCTCCAACCGCAGTCGACACTGGTCCATTTCTGACCACAGCCCCGCCCCTGACCGGGCGCCCATGTCGAAGCGTGAAGTTGCCCGATTGCGTGCCCTGGTTTTGAGCTCCGGTATCAAGGCCATGGAAATTACCCGCCGAGCCAACGAGCCCCATCTCGCGTTCGTAGCCCGAAAAATGCCGTCTCAGAATGACCTACAGGTCGCAAACGTGTTCTGGCCCACGATCGCGGAGCTCAGCCCCGACCCCGCCAGTCTACGCAACAAGGCCGTACCGCAGACGGAGCTGTACCAGTTCGCCGCCAAAACCCTCGGCAAATCCATTCAGTGCGCCGGCCAGGACTGGCAAAAGACGGCGGACCACTTTGTCGCCGAGACCGTCCCGGCCCTTCACCGTCGCGTGGAGGATGTTCGCCGGCGGGTAGCGACGGACCTCTCAGCGATGACGCGCGCGGCGGCCGACGAGGCGGACGAGACGAGTCGTGATCTCACGCTGGGTCAGCGGCTCAAAATTAAGCACACGCTCGATGTCATTGAGGCCATGCTGCGAAGGCGCAGACGTAGGTTCCGCTGGGTCCGCCGCGCTATGTGGCTTGCTGTCGAATGGGTGCTTGTCGGATTCATGTGGTACGTGTGGTTTGTCGTCATGATCCTGAGGGTGTTTTGGGGTGTTGGGCAGGGAGCCGTCGGGGCTGTTCGGTGGCTGCTGTGGTTGTGAGCCTGGAATCCTTTATTTGGGCTCCCTCGTGGCTCCTTCTTCTCAACCCAATTAACTCCCTGACCCTTATTTGTGGCCAAGAATTAAAAGTTGCGGATTGTTTTTCTTTCTTCTGTGTTTTCTTTTAGTAACCCGCTCATCATCATAAGCACTGTCATTACTATGCATAGCCGACGGAGCAAGTTTTCTTGGAGTAACATTGCGGGGGCTATTCCCTTTTGCGAAGGGATGGCGTGTTTTCAAATCCAGTGGTGGCCAGTGGTGGATAGGAAAAGGTAGAGAAGAGAGAAGAGGAGAGAAGAGAAGTAATGATACCCGGAAGAAGGGAGAGAAGGGTGAAGAGAGAGAGAGAGAGAGAGAGAGAGAGAGAGAGAGAGGATGGGGGAGATGGGGATTTTCTCAGTTCGACTTTAGTCCGCTTGAGTGCGATTTTTTTTTTTAGTGATTCTTTTTCTTCCATTTTTCCTCCCCTATATATGGCGGGATGGAAATGTTCAAGGAATGGGCTTCTTCTCCCTCCGCTTGCAGGGAAGGAGGAAAGGGTATGCGAGATTATTATTTCCGTTATGGAAACTTTATATATACATATAATAATACAGACATACTACAGCCATCCGAAAGAGATCAACAGTGCGATCCTGGATAAGACGAATGATTTGCCCATCATTTTGCTAGTTGACAGCCTGCTTAACCCGCAGAGCTCATGTCAGTCTCCGAGCATCCAACAAGTGCGTGTCTCTCAACAAGGGAAAGCTTCAGTTCAGTGTCAACCGTGAAAAAGGATGGTGGGAAATGCGTGAGTATGATTCTATAGTAAACCATTCTCTCAGAGTTGTCAGAGAATCTCTTCCCTCAAATAGGGTATATGAACTGCTTATTCTGCAAATCCGTCAAATCCAAAACAGCCATATCGACCTTGACCCTCACCGTCTCGCCGCCCTCATCAACCTGCTCAACCCACCCGTCCCGCTCGTCCTCGCTCAGCCCAGCGATATACTCCAATCGCTCCTTGTTTCTCCTCACGAGTATAAATCGAATAATCCACAAAATCACAGGCGTGCCGATCCAACTCACCGAAATCATGGAAGCCCACGCGCCATAGAACCGCGGCGCATTGGCCGGCACCCAGATCTGCGGCGACACGAGGTTGCCGACGCTGTACCCCAGCATGAACATGACGTTACGCGTCAGCTTCTTGGTGTACCCCGCCGCCGTGGAGGTCGTCCACCCCAGCGCGATGATGTAGGTCACGCCGTACGTCGCCGCCGCGAGGATCAGACACGCCAGCAGACCAATCTTGCGGTCCCAGGGGATCGTGACCATGGCGATGCCGCCGGCGACGGCGGGCATGCACCAGAGGGTGCCGTGGAGGGCGAGGTTGCTGGGCCAGCGGCGGAGGGCGAGGGTGGCGACGACGCAGCAGAGCATGCCAAAGGCGCCGCCTGCTGCTGCGACGAGGGTCGAGCCGAGGGGTTTGATGCCGATGGAGGTGGTGATGAGGTTCTTTTGGCCGTAGTTTAGGTTGTTGGAGTACATTAGCGTGAAGGACTGCAGGGCGAAGAGCCAGGATACCGGGTCGCGGAGGGTTTCGACGACTTGTTCGCGCTTGAAGCGTTTTTGCTCGATGGAGCTCTGGTGCGCGGCGTGAACGCGGCGGATGACGTGAATTTTTTCTTCGAGGGTGAGGAAGCGGGCTTCGGCTGGGTTGGAAGGGTACTCGAACCAGACCCAGACGGCTAAGAACAGGGTGAGGCCGCCGGTGACGATGTGGAGGAGTTTCCAGGGGAGGACGGGCCCCGTGGCGTAGAGGAGGCCGTAGGAGAGGAAGCCGGTGACGAGGGGCGCGGCTTGGCAGGTGATCCAGAGGACGGGCTGGAGGTAGGACTGCTCGTGGCGATTGAAGAACATGCCGATTGTGATTTCCATGGCGGGGACGATCGTGGCTTCGGCCGCGCCGAGGAGGAGGCGGAGGACGATGAGGCCGGCGTAGGATGTTGCTGCGCAGTGGAGGAAGATGAGGACGGACCAGATGAAGATTGTGATGGCGACGTATTTGCTAAAGGGGAGCTTTTGCATGAGGATGTGGCCTGGCCATTGGAAGGCTAGGTAGCCTTTGAGGATTGGGGATATTGGTGTTAGTCATTTTACTTGAAGGGATTGGTGTGAAGGTGGAAAGGGGGGTGTGAGTTTGCTTACCGACGTAAAACATGGTGTTCAAGTTGTTATATTGGGCTTGTCTGATACCAGTCTCCTCAAAGAGGCCCAAGATAGCTGCGTAACCGAGTGTCGACTTGTCAACCTGGAAAACACGTCACGCTTAGCCAAGTCGCTCATCGCATAGACCCAGGTTCCTTGTGATGACTTACAAAAAGCATAATGTTAATGGCAGACAGCAGAGTCATGACGCGAAGATAGAGCTTCCTACGAATCTTCTTCTCTATCTCGGGCGTCAGGGGACCGAACTCGTCGCCATGCTGTTCGAGGAGCCGCAGCGTCACGTCGGCGTTCTTCTCCGAGACGGTCTTGCCCTTGGACGCGGACGTCACTTTGGGTTCGACCCCTTTTTCGTCAGCCATGATTTGGGCGTGATTTCGGTGAACGACAAACTACAGTCAAGGAAGATCGCCTGTGTCCTTAGGTGTGTAAGTTGCGCAACAGCCCGCCGAAGAATTTCATCTAGGCTCGTGTACAGAGTAGGACATGCTCTCAAGAGGAAGCTCATCTGCGAACATCTGCGATCTTTAACCTTGCAGCTTCCATCACATCAATACCTGTTGTGGATCCCATCAAAATGTCGTTATCGAAGGATGCGATAGACTATGTTCCTCTTGTCGTCTCATTCTGTGAGGTTAATGGTGAGCCGGGTTCCGCCAAGCAGCCAATGCGCGATGTCTCTCCGCTATCACGCAATACCCTGCGGCGGTCACCCTCCCGCCTTTCACTCCGAGATTTTACCAAATATTTAAACGCTATTGGGAAACCTCGTGGCATCATTGCATGCGTGTGAGCAAGCTACCAGTCTCCCGGTCGGAGCTAGAGCAAGCATTATGTAGTGCACTTGTTGCGCATGGCGTAAAGGCCGATGTTCTCGGCCTTAGACAAGGGTCGGAATACGGCCGACGACGTCTCTACATGCACTTTTTCCAGGGATGAGAGTCATTCAAAACAGCTGATCTCAGTCACGGAAGTAGGCAAAACCCCTCAAAATTAACTTTGATCAAGTAGCCTTATCTGGAAGGAGTGGGATCATTCTCCCGGTAAGCGTTCGGCTCAAAAAAGCTCGGTCGACCGGAGGAGAGACTTTGACACAGGATCCCGGAAACGCCGACGGCCCCACATCGGAGCCGTTCCCTGAACTTACCTTGACTTACTTCACGTACTCTGCAATGTAGAATCAGACATCCCTCAACCTGAAATTCCCATCTATCGTAGCCCATTGAAACCGCTCAAAGACATTGAGAGTACCACTGATTCGCGGCCTGGCAAGTATACGGGCTCGCGCAAACGGTACACCCGCCCCACCCGCTCCCGCCGCACTGGCCCCACCTCGCAACCGTGCAACCTCCGGTCGGCGGCGCGCTCGCCGTCGACGTCGCCGGTGGTGCCGCCGAGGTCTGCGTGGTTGTTCCCGGCTGCGTGGAGCCGCCCTGGGAACGTCAGTCAGACCCATCCTCCCTTGGAAAAGAGAAGGAAAGGAAACCGGTAAAAAAAAAAAAACAATGGTAAACTCACCGTAATGCCAAACCACTTCAGATCCTCAGCCCCCATGACAGGCACACTGTGCCCGATCCCCGTCCCATAAATCCCCTCCAGATTCGGCCCGTACACGTACTTTGTATACTGCGCGCTCGGGTTACCGGGCAACGTCTGCTGCGGCGTGAGGCTGTACCCGAATACCCCCGTCCACTGCTTGATCGTCTCGTTCCAGTTCTGCGGGTACAGCGTCGTGTCGGCGCTGCCGTGGTAAATTTGCATCCGGGGCCGGCTGCCGCTGTAGCCGGGGTACATGTTGAGCGCCGTCTGGGCCCAGGCCTGCTGCGAGGCGATGGACTGGCCCTGGCTGCAGGTCGAGTTCCAGCCGTTGACGGTGCCGGTGTAGAAGCAGCCCGCGGGAACGCCCGAGTAGGCTATGCCGGCGGCGAAGAGCTCTGGGTAGGTTGCTGCCATGACGTTCTGGGAGTTGGAATTGGCTTTTTTTTAGCAACATGTTCACTGCTGGAGGAAGGACTCTCCTATTCTACGAGGTTTTTTTTTTTTTTTTTTTTTTGATAAAGCTACTGTTGGAAAATAAAACTTACCGTCATCATCGCCCCTGAAGAAGTCCCCGTCACGAAAACCTTGCTCTTGTCACCGGCATACTTATCAAGCGTATACGTCACCATGTTCGCAATGGCATTACTGTTCCCGCCGCCGTTATGCGTGAGCGACGCGGTCGAGCTGACGTCCCAGCACGTGCCAGAGTACGGGGACTCCGGGTAGATGACAATCAGCCCGTAGGTGTCGGCGTACCCCTTATAGGGCGTGTTGGAGTAGTACGCGTTCGCGGTGCCGGAGCAGTAGTGGATCGCTACGATGATAGGGGGGCTCGCGGCGAGCTTGTCCGGGACGTAGATGTACATTTTCGCGCCGGACGGGTTGGCCCCGAAGGAGGTGACTTGTTGGAGGGAGGCGGCGCTCACGAGGAGGGGAGTGAGCAGGCCTGTGAGGGCCGTGGTTAGGAGGGTGAGGGGCCGCATTGTGAGGTTCGACTTTTCCTTTTCTCGCTCTGTTGCGGACTGCTGTTGGAGGGTGTTGGACCTAAACTTGGTGAAGAACAGCTGGCCTTTGTATTCTTTGGTGGTAGGCCATGGTTAATGCTCTTATATATGCAGATATCCCCATTGAGGTTATGCGAAAGAGGGCGGCGGACGCAATGATTCCGAGGAATTGCGGGCTAGTGGCTGCGTCGTCCCCTCCATCTGCCAACAATCTTGGACCTCTGAAAAGGAATAAAGTCTCAA